AAAGCTTATGCTCTAATAAATTTGTTAGTCTCTAAGGTGCCACAAGTACTCCTGTTCTTCCTCTAGAATGGATATACTGACAGCCTTAACTCTAAATGTTACTTTTGGTCCTCTTAAAACATTCTGCAGTATAAAATACCTAATTAGCCTCATAAAATGGTCATGGAAATGTGGTAACCCAGACAAAAATCTACTTGCCTGACCTTTCCCATAACTAGGGTCCCTTCCGGCTTCAAAATTATATATCTATAATCAGAGGTGATGCTAGTCCATTGGGGGCCCTAAGCAGGAATATTTTTGGGGCCCCACCCCACACACAATCAAAAACTGTCCATAAATTACATAACACATTTTTTGGTGATTTTCAAGACCCACCCAGACCTTGTAACACTGAAACAAACACAAAAAATTAAGGACCTTTCCTCCTCCTCGCGTTGCATTATGTAATTTATGGACTGCCCCAAAAGAGTAGATCTTTTGGGCTACACCTCATTTAATTCTCTTCCTTAGATGTTCTCTATGGCAAGTTGCTGAAGAAGTCCCCAATGTAAGAAACCACTGGGCTTCAGGAACACATCAAATGTAATTCCCATGAGCTTGGCACTATATTTGACAACTGGGCTGGACAGAATTACAGTCCCAGCCCTTGGAAAAAATGGCAGTCCCAGACAGTCATAGAATGCCTACAGAAGATAATAGCAGGATATGTTGTCATTTAGAGTCGGAAGTAGTGAAGAAGCGTCGTTTCACAGCACAGGAAAATATGAGATTTCCATAGGCTAATAGGTGTGCAGGCAATATTTTCTTGATATGGTTTGTTTAAATAAAAAAGCTAATACTTTCTCTTTAAAATTTAATTTTTGGCAGCTCTCCTCCCACTAGTGCTTCAAACTTTATTTTTTTACAAAAATACTTCTACAATGAATCTTTCCCCATCCTCTGCGTAGAATGTTAGCTATATCACTGATACAGTATGTTTCCTAATACAGGAAACACATGCAACTCAGAAATCAAATACGTTGGTCACTGTTAACCAATTAGTACTAACCAACCGTTAATGAACAATGGTATATGACTTACCACCCATTTCTATTGGTCTTGGATCTGGTCTAAAATGCTGATTTTTTTTTTTAATGAAAACTTTGGTTAGTGAAAATTAAACTAATTTTTATTGTAAATTAATGTATTTGTCCAAATTAATAAATTTGGATATTGCTTTATTGTATAAAAATTTTATTTAAATTTTTCACAAATGCTTTGGCAATCACCTTTAAATGTCCTCAAGAAGGGCCTTGATCCTTGACTGAGGCCAGAGCACTACTGTAATGCAAATAATAAACTATGCCTCTAATAGTCTTACTCTACATGTATAGTTGACAGTTGCCCATTAGGATATTCTTTAGTCTCTATTTTGCCAATTTGTACAAAACATTATATTGATATGGTATCTAGGCCCCACTACTGCAAGCACTTTCACACATGCTTAACTTTATGCATGGGACTGATCTCATTGAACTCAATGGGACTGCTCCATGCTGAAGTTAATTGTATGCATAGCTGCTTGGTTGATTGGGGCCTTTTATTATTTTTGCTTTCCATTAGTTGAACCAGTATCTCCTTTCTGTATGTCAGCTTTCATTTGACTTTCAAAATTTTCTAGCTAACTTCTTTTCAAATCTGCATTTTACCCTTCCAGGGAGGCAATGTGGATAGGGCACTGGATTTGAGAGTCAGGAGACCTAGGTTCTGTTTTCAGTTCTGCCACTGACCTACTGTACACTTCAGTTTCCCCTCCGTAGAATTAAGACAGTGGTACCTACCTTCTTTTGTAAAATGCTCTGACATCTGCAGATGAAAAATGTTGTATTAAAAAAGTTGCAGATTTGTGGCATAACAAGGCAAATATAATCACTCTCTTCATTCTTGAAAACAGCTAAACCATTTGTATTCAACTGTTCTTCTTTTTAAAAAATCACTCTCATGCTTAGAACAAACCTGCTAAATGTCAGCCAGGAAGGTAAAAAACAGAAAGTGACCCATTAGAATGGAAACACTTTTGCAGCCTTAAATAGTGTTGCTATATGCACCACTAATAATTAAATAACAATAACCTAGTGTTCCATATGAGCACTACTTACTACTGTATTTAAGACAGTAAAGACCAATATTTATGAAGGTAAGAACCTACTCTAGAGTAAGAAGAATAGACTTGCAAAAAGTTAACAGATTTTAAAAAGCATGCCCATATATGATTTATTAACAATATGCTTCTTTGAACATCTCTAGTACAGCAGTGTTACATAGCAAAAGGTTGAAATTTGGTGGGAAGATAATCTCCAGGTTGTAAATGTGCCTTTGGTAATGAGATAGAAACTGGGTGTGAATGTTGAAGTTATATGGCTTTGTAAAATATACTTTGTGCGTACACACTGGATTTGTAATGTGACCTTTTATTGGCCTGCCATCATTCTGTGGATTCAGTGCATGTATAAATAGCTAGGAAAGTTCAGAGACAGTGCTGGGAAGGTGTGTGGGGAAGACTTCTGCCTCCTGCTATACAATAAGTGTGGGTGTAAATGTCTTTTTCCATACAGGGTAGAAAGGTGTGTATGGAATGAGGCAAGGGCTTTTTCCTCTGATGACTGGTCATATTGAGCAATACAGAGCATTCCACTGACATCTAGCAAATAGTTGAATATGGTGAAAGAAATTCTTCATTTTTCTATTTTAAAAATGTATGAATTTCCATATGTGAAAGCTGAATTACAAGAATGTTAAGAAAAGGCACTTAGAAGTCAGAAAATGGCAATGTTAAGGTGCATGCAGAAACGTGTACGTAGACAGCGTTGAGGCAGTCCTTGCCCCAAAGAGCTTAAATAAAGACATGATGCAGCAAGTGAATGTAACAAGAAATAGAAGGATGAAGGAAGAGTAATAAGATCTTGTGGTCCAATAGCTTTGCAATGTGCACAACTTTTTGGCTCTGAATCAATTAATGTGTCAAACCCATAGCCCTATGCTTTCCCTTAACATTCCTGCTCCCAGAAAGTGTCCGTTTGTTTCCTGCCTGTTATTTGCTTGGTTGGTTTTCATCCCTGTATACAGTGGACTATTCCCAATTTCCAGTCTACTTAGTATCATTAGTTCCTTTTTTTTAAATATAAGTCATCCCCACAACTCCTGCAGCTGATGGGTCCCCTCCTCTTTGGGCATTTATCCTAACTGGGACTGGAAGGACACCATGCACCAATGGTTTTCCCACTCTATTGCTGTCCAGAGGGGCTAGGTTGGGTCCCTGCAGCTGTCAGGTGCAAGATGGTAGAAATTCTATAGATTGTATATGAAGTGTATGCTCTGATGTCCCTGTGGTCTAGGTTTGGGACAATGCCACCAGGGTCTTAAGCATTCAGTTATTCCCCTTTCCAATATCTCCTGCATCCAAAAGTCAGTCTCACCACCCTACAAACAGCACAGAGTGTCTGGAACTGATGATTCATTGGGGCACCTGGGCTTTTCCCCTTTCTCTAGTGCTACTGTTGTTGGTGTGGGCGAGGTGTGCTGCTGGGGTCATGTGCCCCCGAAGTCCTAGCTCCATAAAGGGACAAACAGGGATCAACTTGCCCCTGGTGGCAGTGGGTGCTGCTGCTGCATCCAGGAGCCACCTTAAAATGGCCATTCCTGCTGGAAATTCTGCGGAGAGCTTCAGCCAATGTGGTGCTCCTGAGAGGAAGGGAAGGAACTGCTGGGGCATTGTACCCAAAAAGCTCCACAAGGGGGTGCAAAGGGAGGAGCAGAAGTGGGTCTGGCTAGCACCTTGGTGCACTGCTGGTAGTGGCTCTTTCTTTCTCCTTCCTGAAGGATTCATCATCTTCCACTGGACAATTTTAATTAGATTAGATCATCTGCTCTGCCTTTTTCCTAATTGTGGGTTCATTTGTGTTGCATCTTATTGTGGATTTTTTAATTAATTTTCAAGTTCCTTGTCACTTTTATTTTACAAAGACAAAATCTTCAATAAGCTGTGCCCTTTTCCTGCTTTCTTTCCTAAGTCACGAGCTTTATTTTAAACTGCCATAAAATAAGTTGTTAAAAATAAATCTGTTTGATTTTTAAAACACTTTAACAGCAAATATCAATGGTCATACATCCTGCTGAAATAATGCAGCTAGTTTTTTAATATATGTTTTGTTTTTGTTTTTTGCGTTTTGAACATACTTCAGCCTTCCAATTTTGCCAACCTACTTCCAGCTTTTTAAAGAGCAAAATTCCATTATCAAAAAACTTGTTAAAAGGCATGAGCAGACATTCCACCTCTGTTCTGATTATGGTGCTTAGAACTTTCCACCTGTTGTCTGCACATTAAGCTAACTCCCACCTAAGTGTCTGCCTTTTATTGCTGTTTGACTAGAGGTGGGATTTTTATAGAGCAGATGCTATGACAAAAGCAGATGTTTAAAAATACATTGACGGCCATGGAATTGGTATGGTTTCAAAATACTTTTGTAATCATTCACCTCAGGACAAAAGTGTAAAGTCTGCTGCTCACATGATTGGAGTATTATTACTGGTTTTGAACTTTATGTAGGATAAATGTATCATAATTAAGGATTATAAGAGTTTAAAATGATGGAGAATGTGAATGAATAGTTATAATCTTTGATTTGTATCAGAATAGTTAATGTCTACTGCTTTGTAGTACTCCACATTTGTAACGAATAGAAGTTGCTGTTAGTTTGTTTTTTTAATTCTGCCTCCTTAATATTTCTAAATTTTGCTTACAGTGTTTGCCAGTTCTGAGCCTGTGCCAGGATTCCACGGGGACACCCTGCAGTTAGCTTTCATCGACCTCAGACAAGTAAGACATTAGTTGTTTTTTTATCTTATTAATTTCCCCCTTTTGATTAGTGCCAAAGTTGTTACAATTCAATGATCTCTCATGTTTTTAGACTTCAGTGCAACCACTGTTGAAAAACAGCAATTATTTTAAGTGGTATTAGTGGGACTCTTCCCTATGAGTTAGTATTAAACTGTTTCCCCAGCATGATGTTAGGGGGCACTGTGCTACCAGAGGTGCCATCTTGTGGATAAAATGTTAAATTGAGGTCCTCACAACTTGTTAAGATCCCATGTCACTTTTTATGCAAGAGTATACATGTCGGTGTGCTGGCCTGATTCCATTTCAGGCAATTACCTTCTGTCTACTGAATTACATCCTGCATTTTCAATTTGACATAGTATTGTTCCCTACTGCCTGTCCTAAATTGTTATGTAGAATTGTTTTACCCTGATAAACTGCTGCCACATTCCTAGTGATGACTGATTTCTAATGCTATGTCCATTTTACTTTTAAAATGGTCTTCAGTGATGGGCTCCAAACTCCTCCCTTGGGAAGACTGTTCCACAGATTTCACCATAAGGAAAATTTTCCAGACTGAATCTTACTTATCTTTGTTTCATCCCATTACTTCTATTTCCTGTTCTCGTTAGATTCTTATGCTACGTCCATCATTAACAATTCATCTTCCTCAGTTTTTTTTTACTTGACATTACCTTTTTTTAAAAAAGGATTTATCATATTTTTTGTTTTGTTTTATTTCACAAATATAGTAAAAGTGTTACCTGAACTGTGAAATGAATAGTTAACCAAATAAAGATGGGATTGACTTAAGCGCTGCAAGGCCTTTGACAACATTATTCAGCAATGTTGCCACTTGACAAAAGTCATCTAGAAAAAAGGGGTAATCTAAGAAGGGTTCCATGCCAGATTATCTGTTTATTCACAATGTTTTCACTTCTGCATAGCTTTCTCATGGCAATCCAAATCTTCTCAAAAAATGAAAATCCTGTTGTAAAATTATTTTGCAGATAGTCTTCCCCTCTCTCATGCTAATGAGCAAAAAACTGGGGGTGGGCGGGAGCAGCTTTTTCAGTGATAAAATTAAAAGGTAGGGTCAGATTCTAAGATCACTTACACAGGTTTAATGATACCTTTGTAATCAGTGAAGTTACAGTGGTGTAAATCTGGAATAAGTGAGCAGAGGCTCCAGGCCCATAGCCTGTGTTAAAGCTATACAATGGAAATGTGATGTCTGTGGATAAGAGAAGTGAAAGAAGAGTTTCAGAAACTGCAATTCGATGTGTGGAAGTATAGTTCTCCTTTTGGTATTCTACATCAGAGGTCCTGGGTTGACAAGTAGACGTTATCCTTTGGATTTTTATATCCTCCCTTATTACTAGCGTTATAGGTGATTAAATGCCTTCCACTTTGTACTACAGTAAATAGTTTAGTTGAAGGGAAGAGAGGTTTAAAGATTGATTTCATTGTGGCACATCTTCTTTGCAACTTTCATTATCCTAAATGCTATAAATCCTTGAAGAGCCTACATTTCTTTCAGGGAAAAAGTAATTTCCAGCAGTGCAGGAGCATGGGGCGAGTATGTGTGCATTTACTATAGGAAATAAATAATATTTTTGTATGTTTAAGTACCAGTTGTTGAATATACGAGATAAATATTTACGGTACTGCTTATACATGATTATTTAAATTGTGCTTGGATTAGCAACGTGTGCCTAGAATTCTTTTTATGCTGTATAATATTTCACAGAGTGTCTTTTTCACATACTGGGAATCTACTAAATTTCAGATATTTTATAAACTGCAAAAATTTAGGCAATTAGCTTGTTACTTGAGCGTCTAGCTATAGAATAGTTATAGAGTATTTTGTTTATTTTTTCTTTTATATTTCTTGTGTGTCTCATGAGAAACTCATAGGGATGCAAGTATTCATAAAGAGCGACAGTTACCTTTTAGTAAGGATTTAACACTGTTTTCCCTCTCTTCCTTTTTTGTCATCCATTTCTCTCTTAATAGGGTAGATGACAGTTCTTTTCAAGAAAACTTAGAAAGGCAACATAGCCTTTTTCAGAAACTTCTTATGAAAGGTCATGCTTCTGTTTTTTAGTTTGAATTTGATACTTCTTCATGAATTGTGGGATATGAAAGATAAGGAAGTAGGTCCACTGGTCAGGTTTTACCTGCCCACCCTGACTGTGCCCTGAGGTCAAACTCCTGATATTTGCTGTTCAGTACAGAGGAGTTGATGACAGGTAGGGGCTGATACAAGGGGGAAAGCTTGAACCATATCAAAGCTAAAAGGCAGGAGAATTGGGACTCAGTGAGAGACTGTAGCTAAAAGATGGATCAGCAGGATTGCCCTTTTTATAAAAAGTAGCTGACCTGTGATGGAAAAGACTTTATCATCCTGCCAATCACATGCTTGCTAATGGAAGCCAGTTATTTCAACAACAGTTTACTCCCTCTGTGTCGTATCAGGACAATGTATAAGATTAACAAGGATAGGGCAATGTAGTATTGGAGCACTCTGCCACAAGAAATAAATCTAATTTATAAGGAACCAGCTTTGGAAGAACCAGGAGGATAACTAAGCTTTCATAGTTACTATGGGGTGCAAGGAGCAGACTGGGCAGGTAGCTGTTTCTAAAGAGCACACTGAAAGTGCTTTCCTCTTAGCAGCTCCTGATCCGCTATCTCTCCCTGCCAGTAATAGCTCTGAACAGTCAGGTCCCAGTCCTCACATTGCAAGCCCAGTTCCCCCACATCCTCTCCACAGCTCTAGGAGAAAAGCTATCAAGAAGAGCTGAACCTAGCAGCAGCAGCTTTCTGCAATCAGGTCCCATTCCTCTTCCTGATTGAGGTGCTCTCATTGTCTTACCATGACCTCAGACACCCCCACCAAAAAAATAACAACTTTGTTTCTTAAGGACCATGTTTTTTCCAAAGCACACTTACAGAAACTCGATTCTGCTTAGATTCTCGTACCATTTCTATCACAATGGTATCTGAGCAACTTCCAGCAGTGCATTAAGTTACTAGCGTGTGTTGAACATGGTTCTGTCATTTTCCCTTTCTGCCTTCCTCTCTTAAGGGAAAAAGTTTTGTGTGTGGATTTTCTTCCAATTTTTGTTTTATTTTTACTTTTTTATGCTGTGCCTTGTGTATTTATTAGTGAAGGTATGGCAAAAAAACATGCCCTGAACTTGGAATGGTAAGTAATGAGGTTTGTAGTGGTTCTTAGGGGTTACCTACACTTGGATTTTTAATTTTTTTATTTAATACCATTGCAAAATATTTGTATAGTCATTCTTTTAAGAAAAGAAGGCAGAGGATGTGATGTAAAAAAAAAAGTGGGTAGTGGGAATGGAGCAGGAAGGAAATGCTGACTATGGGTTGCATACTCTTCTTCTTGCTAAAAGAAATTATGAAAATATCTACGTTGATTGGCGTTATTTATATAGCTACTAATGTGTGCTTAGCATTTTACAAAACCAAAAAGAGAGTCTCTGCCCAAAGGAGCTTATGTACTAAGACTGGACATTACGCTACAATGATAACAGCTAAGGGAAGGACGGGGTAAGTGAAAGTAAGTGTTATGTGAAGATCATGGAATTGTTTATCTTTGTAGGCAACTTGTTGGCTAAAGACAAGGAATCACCCCTACATTGAGTGGGGGCGCAAATCAAACAAGGAGATCAGTAAAAGTCAGCAAGAGCCAATGGGATGATCAACATGGAGGCTGAAGTTCCAAGGGTGGAGGACTGGAAGGAGAGGAGAAAAAAGGAAACCAACATTGCTGAATGAGGATTTAGGAGACTTATATAGAACAGCAGCACTGATGCCAAATGCAGATGAGCTGGATGATATGTAATTTGAAGAAAGAAAGGGAGTGGCAGAAATGAAGGGAAACAGGTGGAAAGGGCAAGAATAGGAAATAATTATTATTAAACCTTTCTCCTTTGCCTGTTAGGTGGGACTTTTCAGGCTCAACCTGCAGCATGTCTGGTTATTCAGAGAAACCTATCACTCCTGTGAAGCCCTACCGCAGGCTGTTACGTAAAACGGATTTGTGTTTGTCTGGCTTTCAGGGAAAGGGGCTCAGAATCTCTGCCCTTCCTTCTCTCCATAGGCTGGTTTCACTGAAGTATAAGGAGCACTTCAGGCAGTCCCTGTCCAGAACAGAGGCACATGAGGGCTCCATTCCCCACACAGCCGCACCACCTTTTGATTTTAGGGAAGCAGGTGAAAAATCTCTTCTCACATTCAAAAAGACTCTGGCTTGACTACATGGGACATTACTTCGCAGTAAGCCCAGGTATGAATCTACAGCTCACTAGCTTAGCTAGCCACACAGTAATGTCCTGTGTGGACACTGCTACCAAATACTAAACGTTCCATAGTATGCTTTTACATCCTGATCTTTGAAACAGTAGTACATCAAGCTGCATTCTGGGACACTGTGCTGTAGCAGTGTCCACACAGGATGTTACTGCATGGCAGGCTGGGGCACTGTAGACTCTCATCCTGGTTTGCCATGCAGTAATGTCCCATATAGACATGCCCTGAGTGGTACTAGGTCTCTCCCAAAGTACTGAGATGGGTGCTAGCCATCCTGAGAGAGAAGGCAGGCATCCTTTCAGGTTCCTAGGTCCATCTAGTGGACTGTTCCCACAATCGAGGTACCAGTGCCCCTTCTTAGCTGAAAACAACCTCCTGAATCAAGGATGTCATCTTGGTCCCAGACCTGGACGGTCTGGCTATGGTTAATAGCTTGGACATCGGAAGCGAAGTTTAGCTCAGCAGGGTTTTTTCATTAATTTCACTGATACTTTTTGGTATCCAGACAGAATTCAACCAGGAGATTTTGTTTTTTGGTCTGATCAAATTATATATTTGGTGTGAAACAGAAAGCTTTCTGGGGCATGAACTGTCTCTTTATTTGTACAATGCCCAGCACAAAGGAGTCCTGGCCTCTAGATGCTACCATAACTCAAATAATT